CTTCACCTTAATGTGTCATTATCAATCAATTATTAAATTACCTGTCATCTCTGTATTTCCTTAATTGACTGGGAGGTAAACACATATAAAAATACTATAGATATGTTCAGATAAACATACCAACAGATAATACAATCAGATACACGTCACAAATACGCCATAGATACGTCACTGATACACATTATGATGTCACTGATATATCACTAACATTTCTTTGATACGTCACAGTTTCAAACAACACCAACACTTAAACGACGTTGAGAGAGAGAGAGAGAGAGAGGAGAGACATATATACAGAAAAAGTATATATATAGTTGTTAGTGTCAGACGAAACACTTACTGTGGCAGGTGGCTCTTCTCCTTCTACACCAAAATAGTAAATACATAAAATAAAAAAACTATACCTTTTACATATTGTTATTGTAGCTGTATTTTCATACAATATTTATTATTTTGTTTACATATTGCATTCTTATTAGCATATTATTATTATTATTATTATTATTATTATTATTATTATTATTATTATTATTATTATTATTATTATTATTATTATTATTATTATTATTATTATTATTATTATTATTATTACTTAAAAAAATATGAAAGTAAAAACTTTTAAGTTCATATTAAACGGTTTCAGAAAGTGTTGTCATTGGCCATTTGATTGTTCAATGTTATCTTCTCCAGCCAATCAGTGACCACAGATCTGACATCGGCAATAACCCTTTTGGCAGTTAGACGTGCAAAACGATTTCTTAAAGAAACTGTCAAACCAATAGAGAGCTCTGACCTCAAAGATGAAGCATTATGGAATCTTGTCTAGTTATTTTTTATAAAGACAGACCAGTCTAGAGCACGTAAGGGGTAGGGGGGAGAGGTGGGAGAGAGGAGGTAGGAGGGAGGAGGAGGGAGAGGAGGAGAGGTGGGGAGAGAGGAGGGAGAGGAGGAGAGGGGAGAGGGAGGAGAGGAGGAGGGGGGAGAGGGAGGAGAGGTGGGAGAGGGGAGGGGAGGGGAGAGGGGAGAGGGGAGAGGAGGAGAGGGAGAGGGAGGGAGGGAGAGGGAGAGAGGGAGAGGTGGGGAGAGGGGGGAGAGGGGAGGAGGGGAGAGGAGGAGAGGTGGGAGAGGGAGGGAGAGGTGGGGAGGGGGGGAGAGAGGGAGAGGGGGAGAGGGAGGGAGGGGGGAGAGGGAGGGAGAGGTGGGGAGAGGGAGGAGAGGGGGAGAGGTGGGAGAGAAGGAGAGGTGGGAGAGGGGGAGGGGAGGGGGGAGAGGGAGGAGAGGGGAGAGGGAGGAGAGGGGAGAGGAGGAGAGGGAGAGGGGAGAGGTGGGGAGAGGGGGAGAGGGAGGAGAGGGGGAGAGGAAGGAGAGGTGGGAGGGAGGAGAGGGAGAGGAGAGAGGGGGAGAGGGAGGGGGGAGGGAGGAGAGAGAGGTGAGAAGGAGGGGAGAGGGGGAGAGGCAGAGAGGAAAAGAAAGAAATAGGTGAGAAAATATGGAAAATGTGGAGAGAGAGAAAAAAAAAAAGAGAGAGAGAGACTGGCCAGAGAAAAGAAAAATCTGAAGGGGAAAGGAGAAGGGAAGGTAGGGAGAGGAGGAAGGAGGAAGGAAGAGAGTAAGGAGAGAGGGAAAAGGGGAGGAAGGAGGGAGGGAAGGTTTGAAGGTATCTGGAGAGAGAGAGAGAGAGAGAGAGAGAGAGAGAGAGGAAGGAAGGAGGGGTGAGGGAAGGTGAGAAGGTGAGGGACTGGAGAAACAGATGGGAGGGGTGGGAGGAGAGGGCGTGTAGGGCAGGAGAAGGATAGAATTCTGAGAGGGAGATCTAAGACTTAGAGGGATGGAGGGAGTGGAGGAGAGGGATGTGAGAGTCAGGAGGATGGGAGTCAGGAGAGGGATGAGTTGGGAGAGGATGTGAGACAGAGGAGTGTGTGAGAGTCAGGAGAGGTGTATGTGTGTGAGTCTGTACAATAGTCTTATAATTCTTACACGCAGAAGAGACTCGTCGGAGGGACTGGTCACAACAGCTCAGTATTTCGTGTTAAAAACAAAACAATATCAGAGATAGAGGCTAGGGGAGAGTCATTTATTCTGAATATTTCGCTAACTGAGAGAATCAACTATTTGGTGGTATATTATAAATGTTTTAGTCTGTCTGTCTGTCTGTTGGTGAATGAACTACTTGGGTTTCTTACCCCAAATGTAGTCAAGTTCAAGTTGTTTTTTCTGCTGTTGTAAGTACTCTCTCTCTCTCTCTCTCTCTCTCTCTCTCTCTCTCTCTCATCGAAATAAAAACTAATATTAAAAAAGAAGCAAAACAAAAAATACCTTTTCATCTGATACTTTTTTATACGTCGTAACAAATACATGAAAATTAATGCCATAGAGATTTTTTTTTGTATGTTGAAATATTTGTGAATGTTGAGCACAAACATAAGTAATTTGTTCATTAATGTAAGATATTTCTGAATATCCAAAACAAATACAAGTAATTTTATTATTTCTTTTAGTTAATTGATGATTTACAGGATCGCGAATAAAGAAAAAAGAAAAGAAAGTCAATTAAAAGTTTAATAAAGAAAAAAATTAGGAAAACAGATGGCAGGAGCAGTGCAAAGACTGAGGCAATTACTGCGCTTGCTCTCTTTCACGACAAATATTTGCACAGTCTACAACGTGCTTCAGCCGGATAAATATTCCAGTATTCGTCCGGTTATAGCTCGGTTACTGCTCGTTCTGCCATTTAAGTTTCTGGTGAAAATTCAGGTGTACAGCGGGTGGAAATTCGGGTGTACAGCGGTTGGAATTCGGGTGTACATCGGGTGATAATTCGGATGTACGTCGGGTGCATACATTATTATACACTTGACGTAAAATGTATAATAATAATGCCATAATTGAATGCATAAATAAATCAATATAACTCTCAAACTGATATTAAAATCACATGAGAATATTCTATAGTTAAATATTTAACACAAGAATACTGAAGAAGTAAAGTTCCCAAATATTTCTACGATATTTACATTACACTATCATCTCCCACACACACATATATATGAGATATTCCCTCTGGTTTATAGTGAGTATTTACATTTAGCATTGCAAGTAATGTTACACCGTGTTAAAAAAATAACTTGATACATGAAATATATAAAATATATTTTAGAAGATCTGCGGAAATTGTATTAATTCTATCTAGTAACTTCAGTTAATTTCGTAAAAGGTGTTTTAGATGATGTGAAATGTATCTATCCATTTATTTGATAATAATCTATGTTAAAATTTCAAGTTGATTAAAAATATAAAAATTATAAATGGATAAAGTTTCCACCATTTTTTTAGTCATTACTTTATAAAATAACAAATAAAAACACAAAAATCAATAAATATCCTCCATTGAAGTAAAGTTTTAAAACTAATTATTTCTACTTTATCTATTTCCAGGTTGAGCTGAAGAGACACCCTGTCGAGGCTCCTGTTGTTCCTGACGCTACAAAAGACCCATAAGTCACCTAAAGGTCAACTACTATGGTCATCTGAATATACCTGGAGTCAACACCTATGAGACACACGACAGATTCAACACACACAACTCCTATCGACGGCTTTTGAAGGACAGGGAGTACAAGAACAAGGATCCTTTCTCTATATATTCATCCTGAGGAAAGAAAATACCATAAAACATATATTTCCTGCAGTAAAAGAAAAATATATTCCACCATAGTTGTTATATTTTTCTTTCTTTATATAATTTTAACTTAATATCTGTTTTTTCTTTTGGTGGGGGTTACTTATTTATTCATTTATTCATTAATCTATTTTTTTTCGAGATAAATCTGCCATTGGCGAAGAATTATTTAAATACGTATATAAGACGGATAAAAAAGTTATTTGTATGGAAATAAAAAATATAATTGGTAATAAGAGAGTGTGTGTGGGGAGGGGTGTCTGTCTGCGTGTGTGTGGGGAGGGGTGTCTGCGTGTGTGTGGGGGGTGTCTGCGTGTGTGTGTCTGTGCGTGTGTGTGTGGGGGTGTCTGTCTGCGTGTGTGTGTGGGGGGTGTCTGCGTGTGTGTCAGGGGTGTCTGCGTGTGTGTGGGGGTGTCTGTCTGCGTGTGTGTGTGTGTGTGAGTGAATGTTCATATATCATTATAATAAATCAGATATATAGTCTAATAACTTTAACTATATATATAACTGCCTATATCACATTACATGGACTACAAAACAAACGGTAATTAAACACAAACTACCGTAACTATAACAAGATCTATAAATAAACACATACAAAATATTTCAGTCATTTGCCATGGAAGTGAAACATCAAATATAAAACATACCAAAGTTGTACACATCAGAGCGGTACATTTTTCATGACACAACCCGTGTAGAAAGATATATCCCGCTGCCAATTAGCGTGTCAAACATTAGTAACTTGGCCATAATTTAATACATTATATCACTAACTTATAATATATTCTCGCATTATATTACCACCTATATTCTTACATTATGTCATCACTTATAATATATTCGTACATTATATCACCACTTATAATATAGCCAAACATTATTTCACCACTTACAATAAATTCTTACATTATTTCACCACTAATAATATATCCCCACATTATATCACCACTTACAATATAATGACATAGTCTAATAGTATTCTTGTACAATATAACACCATTTTTTTCTACTATATTATCACCGTCAAACAGTAACCACGAACGTAAACATTTATTCACTGTAATGTTTTTAGTATTAGTTTTATCTGTAATACGAGATTTCGACTTTCCAAATATTCACAAAACAATTCTCGAAATGTTTAGCGTCATTGAAACATTCTCTTCGTGTACAGTGGTTATGCCTTAGGGTCTATATACCAATGTCACTGACGATATTAAAATGTGGGTGTCTGTGTGTGGGTGTGAGAGAGAGAGAGTCCGTTTGTGTGTGGGTGAGAGAGAGAGAGAGTCCGTTTGTGTGTGGGTGTGGGTGTGAGAGAGAGAGAGAGTCCGTTTGTGTGTGGGTGAGAGAGAGAGAGAGCCCGTTTGTGTGTGGGTGTGTGTAACCGGTGCCGCCAGCCAAAGAGTGACATGACAAAATACCTTTACACCTATTCACCGATACAAACGAAGTCACCTGAGACTTATACCTGTAATAAATCCTTTTGATCCGGTAGTAATGATTCAGGTCATTAGTGGATAATCTTGTCAACATCATTATCCTGACACTTCCACAGATCTCGATTTTTTTCCTCCGTCTTTGCAATTTACCTGAGTCATAATACTTGGTCATTAACTCCACGTAACTGAAGCTTCATCAACGTGTAAAGGTGAAATAAATAATATCATGAAGGTTGATGACAATAATTTGATAAAGTGTATTGGTGAAGTCTCCATCATTTATCCTTCCCGAGTTGATATTGAAATGACTTTTTTTCTCAAGGTTTTACTTCATTTTGCTATTGTGGTGTTTTTTACTTGTGTTATTAATCTCTCGTGAAGTCAAAATTAAGCATCTTTATTTTTTCCTGGAACATGTGAAGTGATTATACTACTTCATCATATCAAAAGTTCCTTCACAACATCAAAAGTTTCTTCACAACATCAAAAGTTCCTTCACAACATCAAAAGTTCCTTCACAACATCAAAAGTTTCTTCACAACATCAAAAGTTTCTTCACAGCATCGAAAGTCCCTTCATAACATCAAAAGTTCCTTCATAACATCAAAAGTTCCTTCATAACATCAAAAGTTCCTTCACAACATCAAAAGTTCCTTCATAACATCAAAAGTTCCTTCACAACATCAAAAGTTTTTTCACAACATCAAAAGTTCCTTCACAATATCAAAAGTTTCTTCACAATATCAAAAGTTTCTTCACATCAAAAGTTCCTTCAAAATGTCAAAAAAGTTCCTTCACAATATGGAAATTTTTCTTGTACTAGATATGGAACTTGGTCAAAAACTGTACGGAAAAAAATCAATCACGATCTTAGAAATTTTCCCCCCTCTGACATAGTTCTTTTCGCTGTCTAAGACTCTGGTTCTCTTGTCGTTCATGTCACACAACTACTCCTGGAGATAAAATAGTCATTCCCCTAAAAGAATGACACAATCTCCTCTCTTCCAGAATGACACGATTTTTTTTCCTCTTCGTCTAGGAATAATGGAACATGATATTATGATTCTTATTCTGCCCCGAGAAAAAGCTCCGTACCACATCCCAGAAGGCATCACAGTCCGAGGTATTTTAACATCTTTCATATGATTCTGTAATCTAACCTAACCTGACCTGAATTGACCTAATCAAACCAAACTTAACCTAAACTAACCTAACAAAAACTAACATAGCTTAACCCAACCCAAGCCAACCCAACCCCTCTATAATACTAAGACACTCACTTACCAACTAACTATAGGCATCTCATGTTGTCTTGCAATGGAGGACCAAACTAAATCTTCCCTTATCTTAGATCTACATTATATTACCTACACTTTCCAGTAACGTTTAAAACACACCTTTACCCCCAGCCAATATAAAGGTCCCTTACACTACTCTGGACCTCAGGAACACACTACTATCACCCTTATCCTCCTCATACATAAGGTCTCTTAGCCTCACTCTGATGGGGAACGCTAAAATGACCCTTATATCCCTCATACACAAGGTCTCTTATACCTACTATGATGGGGGAACTATAAAATCACCCTTATACCACACTATCATAAAGCCCCCCCACGGGAAATGGGACACGGAGGCTATCTCAGTCATTGTTTCAGGGCAAGTCAATCTAAGGGAGTGATTCCTGGGCCGGGAGGTACACAGCATTGAAACCAGATGACGGAGAATGAGATCTGTGTTCAAATTGGCTACTCTACTCGCTTGTTGTGTTCACGGCTCGAGTTCGGTCTGGGGGAGGGGGAAGGAGGTGGGGGGGGTATAGGGAGGGGGAAGGTGGGAGGGGGAAGGTGGGAGAGGGAAGGAGGTGAGGGGTCGGGGTTCGGGGAGGGGTGAGGGGTAAGGGGTAGGGGAGGGAGAGTCTATTCCTACGTGGGAAAAGTTGTCACAGCTTTAAATTGAACGTGACTTGTGAATAGTAATGGAAGAGGTGACCTGATGTAGCTTTTGTTTACGAGTTTTTGTTATGGTAGATGCCCCAGGCTGGTCACGGTGGTGGCGCTGGGGAAGGATATAGAACCGTGAGATGGAAACAACCAGTATCTCGTTAACTAAGGCCTGCAGGTAGCTAGCTGTTAAGTAATTACCCAGGTGATGTTGTATTTAGAGAGAGCGAGAGAGTGAGAGAGCGAGAGAGTGAGAGAGAGAGAGAGTGAGAGAGTGAGAGAGAAAGGGCTTTGTCGTGTCACCATTATGATTAAAGGTGACTTGAACAAGATAACTTTGGGTCTTGTGTACTGAATTCGGTGGTTTTGGTGTGATAGAAAAGGTTAATCCATGTATTCAAATGTCTCTTATATATTTACATATTTTCTGCCAATCTCTGCCTCCCTTACAAACCATCGGCCAATCTCTGCCTCCCTTACAAACCATCGGCCAATCTCTGCCTCCCTTACAAACCATCGGCCAATCTCTGCCTCCCTTACAAACTATAGGCCAACCTCTGCCTCCCTTACAAACCACCGACCAATCTCTGCCTCCCTCGGCCAATCTCTGCCTCCCTTACAAACCATCGGCCAATCTCTGCCTCCCTTACAAACCATCGGCCAATCACTGCCTCCCTTACAAACCATCGGCCAATCTCTGTCTGCCTTTCACGCAAACTTTGACACATAGATAACTGTATTTTGTATATTTTGTTCATTTGTTTCAATGATTGTTATCCGTGTTTCAGTGATTTATACTAATCGTGTTTCTGTGATTTACCGATTAATATTTCTTCGTGTTTCAGTATAATTCATGTTTCTTGTTATCCTCACAGAGTAACAGGAAAAGATAACGATAAGAGATAACAAACTGGCCTTAAATACACAAAAGAGAAAGATTAACAAGAGATGAAACTGATAAGAGATTTATGTGTGTGTGTTTTTTTTCTGTGTCATTATGAAACACTTACGACGTTTGTCTTCCAAAAGCAATAATATTATGCAATTGTGGATCACGAAAACAGTAAAGGATGTCCCATTGTTACTGAGACTGATGAGTAAACGTGGCACATTATCGTGTTCTGTGATAGTGAAGGTCTGTCTGTCTGTAAACATAAACGGTGTTAAATAACTCGAAAAATAATATATTACTCTTGCGAATAATGTGTATAATATCTGTGTCTGGATTGAGAATACTTGAATCTGTGGAGGAAATATTTTAAAACGAAATTTACAGAAGCAGAAAGTGAGCATCGTATCTGGTCAAGAGAAACTCACAGTGACTTCAGTTCAATAAGGGAAAAAAAAGTTTGAGATGTTTTACGGTGAGGTAATCAAGACCCGGGAACTGGCCAGACAAAAATTGAAGCCTGGGATCGTGGAAACCTAGCGGTGCGGGTGTGTTGTTCTCTGCCTCACTGACCTTAGATACACTCCTTGACCCAGTGACGTATACAAGAACATCCATCACCTGGGTTGACCTTTATCATTCTGTATAATAACAAAAACGTGACAAAATACATTCTGTGCTGTACCAAACGATCATTATTTCATCAGTCTTTTAGTGACAGAAAACGTTGGGTGAGAATTATTTACCAGGTTATTTAAGTGTGTCTTGGGATGAGTTACCATAGTACCATTGCCAAGATCATCATCCATCTCTAACTAATGTAATTTAAGTGCAAATTTACAACTGAGTGCCGTGGATATTGGATGACAGCAACGAGAGAACTATCATCTTTATTTTCAGCTATCAAACAGTGCCAAGCTTCCTCACCCGTTTGAGCAATACTTCCGTTAAGATTTACGATCGACCAGTAATGCCAGCATGTACTACACAGCCTACGGGAACTGGCTATGATGTTCTTGTCATGTGTAAAGCTGGAAACGTCTTGTGAAATCATGACACCTCGCCTGGTGGGGGAGAGTGAGAGTCGTGGTTGTCTTAGTGTAAACGAAGGTGTGGGAAGTGAGCCACCTGTGTGACCTCAGACAGTGTTTCGTTCACTAGAAAACCGAGACGTTGGCTAAATGAAAATTGGGGGGTTAAGGTGAGACGTCTAGGGAGAGAAAAAATATATTAGAGATAAAACAAAACAAAATAGAGAGAAAGATACAATTAAGATAAGAAGTTTCGTAACACACACACACACACATCAGGTGTAGTAACGTTAAACAGATGCGCACACAGTTCACTATGCAACATTACACACAAAACACAGATTATAGATGACATGCCACGTGCATAGAGGACATAATGGCGAGAGTTACTGCTGGCATGAAGTGTGTTGCGTGACGCTGAGGCGGCCACTCATCCTGCAGACACGCGTGGGTCACTGTACACGCGGGCCTGAGTGTGGACGTCTCCTAGGATGGTGACTCAGCATCACCCTCCATATGATGAGGACACTCCAATTTTATAGCGGACTACGTCAGTCTGGAAGGACTCTAAACATACAGGTATTGGTGTGGGCGTGCTTGTGGGCGTGGGTAGCGTGTGGCGTGGAAGGTGACTGTCCGAAAGAGTGCGAGTGTAAGTGGAAAGACGGGAAAGAAACAGTGGCCTGTCTTGGCGCCGAGCTCATCGATATTCCGCGCAACCTTGACCCGTCCACTCAGGTGCTCGACCTGAAGCACAATAACCTGCAGATCCTGCCTCGCGACGCCTTCGTCAACACAGGTCTGGTCAACCTACAGAAGCTCTGGCTCAGTCACTGCAACCTGAAGCACATGGAACGTGGCTCCTTCAACATGCTGGCCAATCTAGTTGAGCTTGACGCGAGTCATAATTTACTACGGTCAGTGCCCACCGCAGCGTTCATTGACATCTCTGGTCTGCGGGAACTGAGCCTCGCTAACAATGCTCTCACCAGCATCCCCGCTGATGCCTTCGCCCCGACGCCAGACCTCGTGCACCTGGACCTCTCCAGCAACCGGATACACAGCGTCGACCCGAAGGCTTTTCGGTGTCTCTCTTCCTTGGAAATCCTCAAATTATCCAGCAACATGTTGGTAAATTTACTTCAGGAGTTGCTTGTACCACTGAAGGCTCTCCATGGCCTCAACCTCAACGACAATCCCTGGAACTGTGATTGTAGTCTTCGGCCTTTGCGCCAATGGATGCTGGATCACAAGATTTCCGGCGTTGTACCACCAAACTGCGCTCGTCCTGAGCGACTCAGCGGTAGTGGCTGGCACTCTTTGACCCTGGACGAATTTGTCTGTGCGCCGCACGCTACTGCCGTAGTTCCGAGGATCCTGGCTAACCACGGCGACAACGTGTCCCTGGCTTGCCGTATCGAGAGAGACGTGGAAGCCTCCGTCACTTGGCTAAATGGAAACCGGCCACTAGAGAAAACCAAAGAAGGTTGGCGCTACCACGTGCTAGAGCTGGTCACATCCAACACTGCGATGTTTATATCTAACCTGACCATTGTGGGGGTCAAAACAAATGACCAAGGTAAATACAAGTGTCTAGCAGAGAACAAGGCGGGACGAAGTGCAGCCAATATGACTCTGAAAGTATCGAATGACATCACGGAGGTACGACTCGTGTCCATTGATAAAGCGTATATGACCGGAGGCCTCTTGTGTGGTTTAGGTTTTCTGGTCGCAGTCTTGTTGCTCGTCAGCTGCATCGTACACCGTCGGCAGCGAGTACAAAGGTTTCGTAGACAAGAAGAAGATCGGGAGGGGAGGCAAATAGAAGGCAGTTGTACCACCCCAAAACCTATGGTCACCACGCAGAGGAAACCTTCAGATTATCATGTTATTCCATCTGGTGATTCAGAGGAGCCACCAATACATCCGGAACAGACACAGGAACCCTGGCTGTCGCGGGAGGCGGCTAACGGTGGGTATCCTCGTGCCAGTTACCTGGATAATGGAAGATACGACGACTCCAGCCTGGAAAGATACAGGGAAGATGTAATCGATGACCTGAGAGAGCAACAAGCTTCTCCCAGCGCGATGTCCTACGCCGAGCTTCCTTCTACGGAACTTACAAGGAGGAGGAGCGACCTAGGAGACAAAGAGAGCCTCAAGAACCTGGAGTTCGAGACAGACATCCTTCGGCGTGAGTGTAGCCCCACCGGTTCCACCGTGTCTGTGGTCAGCAACGGCCAGCTCACCGACATCCTAAATCGGCCTTATTCCCGGAGGCTCGACCACCAGGGCTTCCAGTCATCAGACTTCAACAGCATCGCTAGAAAGTGAGTTCGTGAACTGTTCTGACTTAGCTTTAGTACGTATTGTGATGTCTTAGTCCCGTCTCTGATATACGGTGGAATTTAACCAACAACTCCTTTTATAAAAATATTCCTCGTAATTGTTCCAAACTTGCTTAGAGTCGCTACGTTAAACTAAAATTTGTTCTGACTCAGTTCATCAGTAGACCTTTAAGCTAGATTTTAATGTGCTAAGCTTTCTATTGATTCACTCCATGAATATATTCTCTGGTTAGTGTTATATTCTGATTCACAATTTGTTTCTCATTTCAGACACCGTCCTATTATATGTGATGACAGAAGGCATGACCGTCTTCCGTATGACCCGTGTGCTCTCAACGGCAGGTGAGATGAGGTCACCTAGGCTTGTTCTTGTCATCTATGTTAGGTCATTAGGGACAACGTAAACTGCATTTTGACAAAAAGGTTGTAGTGGGTCAGGATTAAGTAAAGTAAGACGATAAGGTTTGATACCATTACTTTAAAAGTTTGTTACTTTATATAAACAAGAGGTGGAGGAGAAAGTAGGTGCAGGTATGAGAGTAAAGCAGAAGATCTGATGTTGAGTTAAGGGATACTAGGCAATGTCAGACAGAGTTCTAATAGATAAATTTAATCCTAAACCAATATACTTGTCAAAAAAATCAGGTTTATACTTAACAAATGATAACAGAGATCTTATAAAATATTTGTGAAGGTGTGAGGAAGGATATAAGAAGCTGTGACTTGCATTGGATATCTAATTGCTATTGGCGATTTTAATACTAAAACTGAAAAGGGAAGAAGCACCAGAAGTAGAACCGCAGGAGTTAGTCAATAGAAAATAGAAATGAAAGAGAAGAGAGAGTAGTTAAGTTTATGTAATGAAAACAAGATGATTATTGGTAAGTCACGGTTTCAACATCACCCGAGGCATATTTATATACAGATGTCATCCCCGAGTAATGAGCGTGTTAGTGAGAGGAATCAAACAGATTATATTCTATTTCGAGATAACTTGAAGCTCTCGGGAACCCAAACTAAGACCTTCTCGGGGACAGACTGTGTCCCGGGAAAGAGATTTATTAGGATAAATCTTAAAATATAAAGAAAACAAGAGGAATATAGTTAAATTTGGGGATTAATTGAAGCCAAGGACAGAGGCAGAGAATTAATAAAAAACTGAGACCCAAAACAGATTTTGAGTATCGTTAAAGGAAGGACGTAAAGAATTAGTTATATGATGGTCGAGGAATGAATTAGAATATATTGATATTAAACAGATGGGAGAAACGTATATGACAAAAGTGTGAAAGTGAACGTGGGTCCCATAGCCAGGACTGCCCGCCAGAGACAGTGACGCCGGCACTGTCCCTGACAACCTTCACTTCCCCTAGGCACTCATATATAGCTGACTAGAAACACTGACTCTTAGTACTGAAGGTAAGTGTTATAGCCACTAGACCTCTTCACTAATTTACAACCAGGCCAGAATTAAATTGTAAAATAAAATTTAAATAAATTGACAAATAAAAATTTCACCGGAAATAAACTTTATAATGAAGTTTATAAAGAAAATAAAAAGCAATATTGATAAGCTAAGGATGATTTAAAACATAAATTAGAAAGGGATACAGTTGAATGAGAGTGTACAGATAAATAACGTATCAAACAAGAAGAAAAAGACAACATAATCAATAAAAAATAATAATCCGACTCTGACACACAAGAAGTAGAAGAAATAATAATGAGGTGGAAACGAAAAGGAAATAAAGTTAAATCGAACACTTTAGGAAACAGCAGTTCAGGAAACTACGAGGAAAATGAAAAACAAAATGACAGAGCTTGTGATACTGATCAGCTTCCAGCACAACTTCTAAAACAATACACGAATAAAAAATAAAAGAGTTAATTGTGTTTTCAGAAAGTTGCAGTAGATAACAAGTCACTTTAACGAGGTACATCACAATCTCCAGTTGATAAGCAAAAAAAATCAGACAGAAACTCTAAAATATTTTTGCATATGATGTGGGTGTGTGTGTGTGTATGTGTGTGTGTGAGTGTATGTGTGTGTGTGTGAGTGTATGTGTGTGTGTGAGTGTATGTGTGTGTGTGTGTGGGTGTGTGTGTGTGAGTGTATGTGTGTGTGTGAGTGTATGTGTGTGTGTGTGTGGGTGTGTGTGTGTGTGTAATATACCTTCCCCAGTCATAGCAGGTCCTCACCATTCAACAAAGGTACATTATACAAAACTTCCAACATCCACAACAAATTAGGTGAACATTATGAAGTTTTCTGAGTGTATTAGTAAAGCCTCGGTGAACTAATTAAAAGAGAAAATATTAATACTATAATGAGCGCGTTTGTTGATGATGATAGTTTTAACCCTCGCTCCATAGGTACTTGTTACGATCTACCGATACGCTGTTTGTCGGTCACCAGAGGTCACTCCAAACATCAACAAAGACAAAATAATTCAGCAAGTGTTCTTATTGGTCGCCAGGCTGTCTTATATAACCAAACAAATAGAATTGGGTGATTAGGTGGGCAGAATGGGGTATCTAGACACCGGGGTATCAAGGGGTACAGCAGGGGTATCAAACAGCATATCTACAGGCCAGCCTAGGGGGGGGTATTATCTAGGGTACAACAGCTAGGGTACAGCAGGGGTATCTAGGGCACACCAGGGGGGCAGGGGGGTACACAAAGGGTACAGCAGGGGCTAGGGTACAACAGTTAGGCGGGGTATCTAGGGTACCGGTAGGTGGGTACAGCAGGGGTATCAAGGGTACAGCAGGGGGGCCTAGGACAGCAGGGGTATCAAAGGGTACAGCGGGGTATCTAGGGTACAGCAAATTCAGGGTACAGCGGGGGTATCAGCAGGGGTACAACAGGGGTAGGGTACAGCGGGGTATCAAGGGTACAGCAGTATCTAGCAGGGGGGTACAGCGGGGTATCTAGGGCACAATCACAGCACAGGGGGGATCAAGCAGCGGGGGTATCTAAATCAAGGGTACAGCGGGGGTGTATCTAGGGCACAGCAGGGGTATCTAGGGGCACAGCAGGGTATCTAGGGCATATCTAGGGCACAGCAGGGTCTAGGGCAGTAGGGTCAGCGGGGGGTATCTAGGGTACAGCGGGGGTATCTAGGGCACAGCGGGGGTATCTAGGGTACAGCGGGGGTATCTAGGGCACAGCGGGGGTATCTAGGGCACAGCGGGGGTGTCTAGGGTACAGCTGTGGAGGGAGGCCATCTACCGTAGGCTACATTATTGACTATTCTCGCTTAGCTCTCTAGCCTGCACACCTGTAATTGCTTGTAATTTGAATATACTATATATATCACCTGTAGAATATTTAAAGCCACTGTAATATCACCTCACTGTCTCAACCTCATATGCACCACCACTGTAGCTCCCATATATACACACCTATATAGCTCCCATATGTACTCACCTGTATAGCTCCCATATGTACTCACCTATATAGCTTCCATATGTACTCACCTATATAGCTCCCATATGTACTCACCTATATAGCTCCCATATGTACTCACCTATTGTATAGCTTTCAAATGTACTCACGTATTATAGCTCCCATTTTGTACTCACTATCTGTATCTATCTGTAACCTCCACCTGTAACCTCCACTTGTACCCAGTAACCTCCACCCTCTGCCTGTACCCACCTGTAACCTCCACCCTCTGCCTGTACCCACCTGTAACCTCCACCTGTAACCTCCATCTACACTTCATGGCCCACGACCTATGTCCTTTATCGTTACCCACCTGTAATCTCCATCTGTATCTACCTGTAACTTCAACCTGTAATCACCTGTTACCTGTACTCAGCTATCTTCCTTTGCACCTGCTCTGAGCTGTTAGATGCCTACCTACAGGTGCTACAGCGCCCTCAACCTGGCGATGAGCGAGGCAGCCTCCCACGCCTTCTGCTACCCCAGGGGGAGGCGAGCCAGAACCCGCTATCCCTCCCTCCCATCCACGCCCATGCTAGACGCTGACGACCGCCTCGCCTACGCTCACGATGCCAGGAGACTGAGGAGGCTTATGGCTGCTAACAGGTGAGGGAGGGAGACAGAGGGAGAGAGTAGGCGAGGAAGGGAGAGAATGATTGAGTGAAAGAAGAAATGAGACAGAGAGCAAGAGGGTGATAGGGAGGGAGAGAAGGACGGAAGGGAGGGTGATAAGGAGGGAGAGAAGGAAAGAGACGAAGGAAGGGGTTTGAAAGAAAGAAAGAAAGAAAGGAACGAAGAAAGAAAGACAGGAAGGAGAGAAGGAAGGAAGGAAGGAAGGAAGGAAGGAAGGAAGGAAGGAAGGAAGGAAGGAAGGTAGGAAGGAAGGAAGGAGAGACACAGGAACTATCACAAAAGGTCAGAGGCGATGAAAAACAAAACAGAAAACGGAATCAAGAGTCCAAATAAAAGATGTCATCATACTCAAAGTTCACCACATACCTGCACTTGATACGTCCCTGTGAGAGACGAACCTTGGCCTACACACACACACACACACACACACGCACACACACGCAGTATTATTCATGAACATACACCTACACCACACTATACCACCATCATTACACCTACACCACACTGTACCACCATCATTGCACCTACACCACACTGTACCATCATCATTACACCTACACCACACTGTACCACCATCATTGCACCTACACCACACTGTACCACCATCATTGCACCTACACCACACTGTACCATCATCATTGCACCTACACCACACTGTACCACCATCATTGCACCTACACCACACTGTACCATCATCATTGCACCTACACCACACTGTACCACCATCATTGCACCTACACCACACTGTACCACACACACCACACTGTACCACCATCATTACATACCACACCACACTGCACCATCATTACACCTACAATTCGTTATTAATTGAAACAACACCCTACACCACACTGTACCATCATCATTGCACCTACACCACACTGTACCACCATCATTACACCTACACCACACTGTACCACCATCATTGCACCTACACCACACTGTACCACCATCATTGCACCTACACCACACTGTACCACCATCATTGCACCTACACCACAGTATATCACATCATTGTACCACCACTGCACCACCCTCTCACGCTTCCTCTCTTTCCCAGAGGCGTGTACCGTTCTCTAGAGGGTACGGGAGACCTGTCGAACTCATATCGGTACCAGTACCACGCCGCCCAGCTCGAGAACTATCTGAAGGAGTATCGGAATTTACAGAAGCGTTTCTACAGGATGAAGGAATCATGCGACCCCGTCCACAGGGGCGGTTCCGCCTCCAGGTGGGAAAAACCTTTCTTTATTTACCCATTGGGAGGGGGAGTAAGTTAACCTTTTTTGTTAATTCTTCTTGGTTATTATTCTGGTAGTTAACTTTTCTCATTTCCAAGAGATTTTTCTCTGCTATTGTAAACTGATTTTGATATTTCAGTGAATGATTTATTTTATATCTTAAGAATTAATTTTTCTATATCGTATAAAAATATTTTAAAATTTGGGTAATTTGTCTGTAATTATTTGTACTTAGTTTTCCTATAATGGCCACAGTGGTATAATAAGTTTTCATTACTCTCTAAGTCTACTTAACCAGGACTACATCACAAAATAAGGCATTGAACTTTTTCATATGTTTTGGTTGACAGATATACTTCGTTAGACGGATATTTTAGATCTAACGCACCCTCGATATAACGGATTTTCCTCTCCATTTGTCCGTTAAATAGAAGTTTCAGTATAAATAGTGTTCTTTTATAAGTCATAATTTCGTTCCTAGAATAACATGAACAATATATTAACCGGTTGAATGGGTCCATTTTGCCTCGACCAGGATTAAACGAGAACTCTATGATTGGGCTAAATAATTAATTCCCTGCTATGATTTATCTATGACTGTTAGTTAGAACAATTAATTAATGGGTTTTATGTATTTTCACTTTTGTACATAACAGCAACACTGTTTATTTTACGTATTTTGTAGGATTATATATTTTTTTTTTAATTACGTTGCTTATACTCATTGTTCTTTGTTAAAAGTGTAACCATAATATATCTGTTGGTTCAATATTACGTTTACATCTTCATTTATTATTTGAAAATCTGCATAAATGGGTCACTATATATTTATAGCTTTATAACCCCTTTAGTACGACGACCTAACCCCATTAAGTCATCAAGCCATCATGGGTCATCGTACTCAAGGGGTTAAATCAGAATTGACTTAACACAGTACAGTGAGTAATGACTAATGTATGTAATAAATGTTTTTTATCTCCCCACGTCAGACTGACAGCATACGCGGACAAAATGGATGGTTCTGGGACACTCTTGGGTGATCTGGCTGGCAGCCTGTCCCGTGACGTCACCGGCAGCCTTACACGTGATGTCACGAGCGGATTCAGTCGTAGTAATCTGGCCCGTGACCTGACTGGTAGGTTGTCTCGTACTGGCAGCTTGAGTCGTGACGTCAACGGCAGGCTTAGCCGTACTGGTAGCCTCACCCGTGACGTCGCTGGTGCCTTGAGCCGAGCTGGCAGTCTGTCCCATGACGTCACGAGCAACTTAAGTCGTGACATCACTGGCAGCCTAGCTCGTGACGTCACAGGAGGTGTGGGCTTATTCCCGGGTTCCCCCAGCCCGTCGTCGCCACCGTCGCCATACCTCGACATGGAGTTTGGTCGCCCTCGTCGCCGCGCTAGAGCCGCCACGGAACCGCTGCTGGACGTTTCCCAATCTGGAGTCCTGGGACACAGGAAGTCCAGCCTGGGGATGATCTCAGGGGCCTCACTTGGACACTCTGAGGTGGTCAGGGATGTGCTGAAAGGAAGGTCGCGAGGGCCTTCTGATCCCATGATTGACGCCATGCACAGTCGGTCGTTAGGGACCCCGGAGTCCATGTTAGACGCTATGCAAAGTCGAGCGTTTGGCTCGACAGAAACTGTGAGGGACGTAATGTCAAGTCGGGGTCTCGGTGCCGCTGAGTCCATGATGGACGCCATGTCTGGCCGGACAGCGGATGCCATGGTGGAGATGGGACCTGGGGAGTCACAGCGACAGTCAGAGCCCCTCAGGTCCATCCTCAAGAACCGGTATGAGGGCGGCGGCCTCCTGTATCAGGGGAAGTACTCGAACAGTGCCTACTACGACGACGACGACGACAGGACCACCTACAGCCCTTCAGAATATAAAGACTACCTCGACCACGGCTCCTGAGTCACCACCACCACCACACTCTAGCTGTTATGGAAAGTTAGGAGTAAACTTTTTATATTGCCAACTGCTCTTGTTGTCTGTTGTTGTTGTTGAAGTTAGATGCCTTCTTGAGCTAAATGCTGTCGTTTTTCCTGTCTTTCTTAACCATCTCGGCTGTCGACTGTCCTCCCCCCTTGGTGCTACGGTGGTACATACGTAGGCGTTCTTCAATACATATCTTCAGCACACATCTTTTCAACCCCCACCCCCTCACCCCCTCACCCCCTACACCCCCTTACCCCATACACCCTTCTTCTCCACCCTGTCACCCTCACCCCCTACACCCCCTTTACCCCCCACCCTCTCTGCAACCCCTGTCACCTCCCCAACCCCTACACCCCTGCAACCCCATACACCATCTCACCCCTGAGCACCCCCAGCACCTCATCTTACACACCCCCCACCCCACCTCCACCCCTCACCCCCTCATCTCACTCCCACACCCCCCATCCCTCCCCACCCCTCCATCCTGTCAACCCCCATCCCCATACACCATTCACCTCTACACTCCTCACCCCTATACACCCCTCACCTCTCACCCCACACCCCCTCACCCCCATACACCCCTCACCCCCACACCCCCTCAGCCCCCAGCACCCCACCCCCTACACCCCCCTCACCTTATACACCTCACCCTTACACCCCCTCACACCCCCTCACCCCTACACCCTCACCCCCACCATTCCCCGTCCATCAGAATAGTGTTTTACTGGGATTTTATTTGTTTCACATCTGTGAGCATTATTGTATTTCACTTAGGTTTATCAATACATATATAAAACAGACGTACAAACACAGCCTTGTACTACACCCAACCTCTTTCTGGCTATATTCCAAATACCATCATCATATTTATTTTACTAGTTGTGTCTTGAAAATTTTTTAAGTTCATTTATATCTGACTTTAAAATTTTTACACTTCCTTATTTACGGTTTCCCAAATCACCCATTTTGTGTTTATTTATATTATTATTGTTGTTTTTTTGAGAGAGAAATAGCTTACCCTAGACAATCAATAGCGTAAGTGAATATTCAATGCAATTTGCCTTCCCAGTGATATTTTTTTAACACTTATTATCATCAATATAGTAATCTCTCTATTTACCGGACATCAATCTAAAGGGTATAGTCCGTTAAATAGGGGTCTTACTGTATCAGACTACCGGCGCTGGCTATACTTAAGAATAATGGTTAATAGTGTTCCCCAAGACAATGATGATTCTTCCCACCTAACCTTTAAGACGTGAGACCTTAACCTAACCTAACCTAACAAATCCTTACCTGACCTGACCTCACCTGACCTGACCTAACCTCACCTCACCTAACCTAACCTAACAAATCCTTACCTGACCTGACCTGACCTGACCTGACCTGACCTAACCTCACCTCACCTAACCTAACCTAACCTAACCTAACCTAAGCTTTACTAGGAAACTATACTGTACTGTATTTAGAGGCGAATTAATTTTCTTGGCATTAAGTAGCTGCCCAAATATCATAGGAAATTACTGTTGTAAATAAAAATTAAACTGAGAAAAGGTCCTTGATATTAATATACAAATTAGTGTCTATTTAACTTAGAAGCTTAACCCTTTGAGTCCTGAAGGGTTAAATCATCGTCGTCAAAGGGTTAAAGTGGGATTTTGATCCGATAGAGTGAACTGGAAGCTTGATCTAAAAGCTTTATCTAGAAATGTGAATTGGAAAGTGTAAGTTGGAGGAGTGACCTGCCAGTCTGATCAGGGAAATTGGGAGCTTCAGTTTGGCTCTGGACCTGGGAGCTTGACATGAGAACTTGTCTGGAAGCTTGATATAGAAGCTTGATATGGGAAGCTGATGTGGGAGCATGAAATGAAAGCTTGATGTGGGAAGCTGATCTGAGAGCTTGGTCTAAGAGATTGACCTGAGATCTTGATCTGGGAAGCTGAAATGGAAGCTTGATCTGGGAGCTTGATATGAGAGCTTGACTTCGTAAGCTGATTTTGGAGCTTGATCTACGATTGACAGCCTGATCTTAACTCTTGAGTGTTTTGGGATGGAAGTGACTAAAAGCAGGCTGATCAGAGATCTCCTCTGAGTATGGGAAGCGTATTTGTTCTGTTCTGAGTAGTAGGAAGAACAAATGGTCTGTTCTGATTAGTGGGGTAACAAATGACCTGATCTCAGTCTGTTCTGATTAGTAGAAATAACAAATAACCTGATCTCAGTCTGTTCTGAGTAGTAGGAAGAACAAATGATCTGATCTCAGTCTGTTCTGAGTAGCAGGAAGAACAAATGACCTGATCTCAGTCTGTTCTGAGTAGCAGGAAGAACAAATGACCTGATCTCAGTCTATTCTGATTAGTAGGAAGAACAAATGACCTGATCTCAGTCTGTTCTGATTAGTGGGGGGAACATATGGTCTGTTCTGATTAGTAGGAAGAACAAATGACCTGATTTCAGTCTATTCTGATTAGTAGGAAGAACAAATGACTTGATATCAGTCTGTTCTGATTAGTGGGGGGAACATATGGTCTGTTCTGATTAGTAGGAAGAACAAATGACCTGATCCTGCCCACTTTATCAGGTAGGAACACCCATCTCAGTCTGTTCTTAGATTAGTAGGAAGCAGAAATTAATTAACTTGATCCCCAGCCCACCTGATTAGTAGGAAGAATAAATGACCTGATCCCAAATTTGAATGGTGTTTAACCAAAAGAACTGATCAGCCTGTCTTGATTAGTGGGGAACATATGGTCTGTTCTGATTAGTAGGAAGAACAAATGACCTGATCTCTCAGTCTGTTTGAGTGCAGGAAGAACAAATGACCTGATCTCAGTCTGTTCTGATCATGTCTCTGATTAGTAGGAAGAACAAATGACCTGATCTCAGTCTGTTCTGATTAGTAGGAAGAACAAATGACCTGATCTCAGTCTGTTCTGATTAGTAGGAAGAACAAATGACTGTTCTGATTAGTAGGAAGAACAAATGACCTGATCTCAGTCTGTTCTGATTAGTAGGAAGAACAAATGACCTGATCTCAGTCTGTTCTGAGTAGTGGGGGGAACATTATCTGATTTGAGGAATGAAAATAATACCTAAAGAGAATTTTGCATCTATAGTCGCCAGATCAGCCCTATTTCCTTCTCATTCTCTCACATTCTCTCTCATTATCTCTTATTCTCTCATTCTCTTTCATCAACTCGTAGTCTCTCTCATTATTTCTCCGTTCTGGGCCACATACCGGGTACAGTACCAAGTAGCTGCTGTACTTATTATGACCGCCAATCACAATTGTTTTAGAGAGGTTAAGCTTGATTTTGATTGGTTGTAGTGCTGGAGTTTCTTGACTCTGGTATGTGACGGTGATACTGGTATGTGGGTTCGGTGGTACTGGTATGTGGGTTCGGTGGTACTGGTATGTGGGTTCGGTGGTACTGGTATGTGGGTTCGGTGGTCTGGTATGTAGGTTCAGTGGCAGGCTACTGTTATGTAGGTTCATTGTTATTGGTATGTAGGCGCAGTGGTATTGGTATGTAGGTTCAATGGTATTGGTATGTAGGTTCAGTGTGGTACCGGTGAGTTAGGTTCGGTGGTACCGGTGTCTGGTATGAACATGATCCAGTATGTTGCTTGATATGTTCCCAAAATATAATTCTGTTATATTTGCTTTACATGTGGCCTCAGTATGTTGTTGCAATATGTGGCCTCAGTATGTAGCCTCAGTATGTGGCCCCAGTATGTAGCCTCAGTGAGTGGCCCTATGGCCCTAGTATGTGGCCCCAGAACATGGTGTCAGTCTCCGTATGTTAGTGGAATGATTCACGAATATTTGAAGAAATATTTCCACACGTGCTGCAAATTTGACCACTGAAACAAGGAAGATGCCTAATAGTCTCTCCTTATTCAAGTTTAGGTGCGCCAACAGCTCTATATATGATTGGTAACCTGCTGTTTAAGTCAAAATTAGGTCATTAGTGTAGGCAATTATGACCTATGAAATCCATTTAACATTACCTTCTTAAATTCAGTTGTAATAAATTCAGCTTAATTATCACTAACTCACTCACTAACTGATTGACTCACTCACTCACTGACTCAGAAAAACTGTCACTGGTGGGAAACAATCAATAACAGAGAAGAAAAAAATTATGCCTAGGCTGGCCCGACGCACAAGTAACTGTTCTGTTTCTTTTAATTTCGTTCACTATAAGTTTAAGTTATTTCATTCCTCAGTTCATTATGTGACCCAAGTTACTGAAATAATTAATAAATCCGTAATTACATATTTATCATCGTCTCCCTTATTATTATTAATATAATTTTCTTTGATTACTTCCTCCCTTAAAATTTCCTCCACGTTCTACTCCCACTCATCATAGAAAGGAATTCCCACTACATATTACTCACTTTCTCTAAATGAACTAAAACCTTCACATATCAACACCAAAGCACTTTAGACACGAAGGATAATGATAAGGATATGAAATATAACTGGAGATTATTTGAAGTTTAGATGACGTTTCTCTCCTACTTAACAATGATCTTATATTTTATACGTTATATGGTAAGGAATGTTTTGGTGGCTTCCAGCTTGTCTTATAGCCAAGGGAAGTCAAGCCAAGGGAAGGGAAACTTTGCCAAGGAGAGCCAATGGAAGCCAAGGGAGGCCAAGGGAAGGGAAGGCATGCCATCAAGAGTTTTTTTTAGGTTGTATACGAGCAGGCGGTGAAGGACAGCGGTCATAGATCAAGTGTAAGAAGAAAAATTCCTCCCTCGTAGAAAAGCTGGCAGCCGATAGTGATAACTGTTGAGAAAAAATACGTATTTTTTTTTTGACGATTGAGTTAAAGAACAGGCGGGTGGGCGGCTGGGTGGGTGGGTGGATGGATGGGTGGGGTGGGTGGATGAGTGGGTGGATGGTGGGTAGGTGAGGGGTATGAATAGTTGAGGGAGGGATGGGTAGGTGGGTGATAGTTGGTGTACGATGGAGTCAGGGAGCAGGTGGGGAGGCGTGTGGATAGCTGGGTAGGGAGTTGGGGTAGGTAGGTAGGTGAAGTGGGATAGGCTCAACACACCTGTCCTACGGATATTAACAGTAGAGATGGTGAAGATGATGATAATAAAAAAATACAAAAATAAAAGTTGCTGTTGGATTTTGAGTGCCAGAGCTAAAGCTAAATGAGTGTCAGAGCTAAAGCTAAATGAGTGCCAGAGCTAAGGCTAAATGAGCGCCAGAGCTAAAGCCACATGTTATTTCGTCACTGCCACCGAGTAGGGGAAGAAATATTGTCTCCACTTATAAAACAATTCTCCAGTTGTTTTTTTCATATATCTTGTGTATACTGTACTAAGATAACCTAACCCAACCTTTCCACTGATGCATACATGTTCCCCATACAGTGACACCTCTATATAGCGGACTTCTCTTTCCATATAATCCGTGAGATGGGGGAGGGGGGGGGGGGGGCATTTCACATCTAACGAACACTCGAGATAACGAACATTCCTCTCCAAATAGTCCGCTAAATATAGGTTTCACAGTATGTCCCCTTATTTGTCCTCTACTATGAATCTTCCAGTCTTCCGTAGCCGCATCAATGTCTTCCTTTAATCTTACGCTCTTACGGCTAGGTAGAGGTGACGTCCGCATATTTTCTACTAACTTAAAAGGTCTCAAAGTTGCCCCTTGTAGTACTCCCTTCAGTCTTAAACTATAGGACCCGTCACTAGTGTTCCTTCTGTTCACGGGATTGATTAAAGATACGGAGCCAGATGATGTCAGGTGATGTCAGGTGTTCCCAGGTGATGTCAGGTGTTTCCAGGTGATGTCAGGTGTTTCCAGGTGATGTCAGGTGTTCCCAGGTGATGTCAGGTGTTTCCAGGTGATGTCAGGTGTTTCCAGGTGATGTCAGGTGTTCCCAAGTGATGTCAGGTGTTCCCAAGTGATGTCAGGTGTTTCCAGGTGATGTCAGGTGTTTCCAGGTGATGCCAGGTGTAATGATTGTGTTTATTTTGTATCATTATGTCATTGATGTAACTGTTACTTTCTTATTGTTATAAATGAAATTATTTTGTTAGATATATGATAGTGAAATCTTTATATACCGGACTTCTCTCGCTCCATATAATCCGTTAGATGGAGGTTTCACATCTAATGGACCTTCAAAATAACGGAATTTTCAGCTCCATAGAGTCCGTTAAATAGAGATTTTACTGTACTAATTTTTCCTTCAATACTAATGCTACTTTTTTTTATATGATTATAGTATATTAAGTTGTATAATTTTTTGTCAACTTTGATTATATGTCAAAAACTCGCTAATTAGTTTATCCTTACAGGTATAATTACAAAAGGTGTAACAGGGTACCGTGTCTTTAACCATGCCCCTATAATGATGACTCAGTTGTTAAGAGGTGTAAACTTCTGAGCTGAGGTGTATTGTCCGTCATCCACCCCCCCCCCCCCTACTTGTCAATAATTACCCTTAAGCTACTCAATATTGATCATTTTATTTGGGCAATATTGATTAATTTATGGTTTAATCTTGACTACTTGATTGGTCCCTTTTAACTGGTCATTATTCTCAAATTTTCGTGGTTAATATTCATCAGTTTTATGGTTTTATATTGACCAATTTTGATTGGTTAATATTCCTGATGTTATTGTTTAGTATTGACCAGAAGTGATGGTTTATATTGGGGTCATTAATGGTCAATATTTGGCTAATTAATGGTCAATATTTATCATTTTATAGGTTAATATTTGCAAACGTCACCGCTTAGTATTGGGCTTCATTAGTGGTCAATATATACGACTTTACTATATGATAAACAGCCATATAGGTAGTCAATATTCTACAGTTTATTTGATCAATATTCTTAACCCTTCTACTGATCAATACTTACCACATAAATATTGTTCAATATTCGTCACATTACTGATCAATAGTCCCAACTTTACTGATAAATATTTCCTAACTTTACTGATCATTATTCCCCACTTTACTGTAAATGAAGTTTCTGACTGACTTACCTTGTATCATTAATTCCTTCTATAAAATTTATAATGTGTAAGCTTGAACGACTAACCTAACCTAACCTAACTAAACCTAACCTAACATAACGTAACCTAACGCCTCAATATAATGAAGGTTTACATTGGTTAGTGAAGCAGCCATTTGTACATTCAATGACTAAAGTCTGTTCGTCTCTCCCACTGAGCCACTAACCCTCGAGAGATTTATACTCATGAAACCGACGCATTTACGGACAGAATAATGTATCAGTCTACTGCTGCGTCGGGTTCACGAGTCTGAATCTGTCGAGGGTCAGTGGGTCAGAGGGAGAGACGAACAGACTTTTGTAAATGACTGTACAGAAGAGAAATAATGATGATAAAGAGAAAAAATTATAACGGAATAAACAAATAACAATTACATATATGTGTGTGTGTGTAATAATAATAATAATAATAATAATAATAATAATAATAATAATAATAATAATAATAATAATAATAATAATAATAATAATAATAATAATAATAATAATAATAATAATAATAATTAACGGTTTATTGAAAGAGCATCGCAGCCGGAAGGCTGAAAATATACAGTTGCATAATTGGGGAATGGGTCTCTTGATTGATAAATAATATACAAGTAACATATGTGATACAAATATGATATATAATAACAAGGTGGGGAGAAGGTCATACTGCAGGGCATTTCAACATAGTGACAGTGTAAAAAGGCAATACTAACTGGGAGTGAATACACTAGTTGATTACAAGTTATTGATAATGGTTGGGACTGGGCTGTTCTTATAGCGATCAGTGTATGTGTGTGTGTGTGTGTGTGTGTGTGTAAGTCCCAGAAACTGTATCCAACGTATGTGTGTATATAACTTTTTTAATCTTCATGCAAATTACAAAGGAATACTCTTTGACTCCCACAGGAAGCAGTAGTGTTTGTTACTCTGCTCTACTTACATATAATGATATTTGCATTTAGAATGTAAACACATGTACTATATCAGCCAAGAGTCTGAGTAGCCTTCCTAGAGCATCGTCTCTATTTATACGTGTGTGTGTGTGTGTGTGTGTGTGTGTGTACAGAACGACTGAGTCTTGACACACCAAGGCTATAAAATATTCCGAAGTGTTCTGAATGAATTATGAACGACAACTGATGTCAATCCTCCCTAGTTAACTATTAAGACGTCACCAGCAACACACTTCTTAACCCAGCCCAGCCCAGTCCAGCCCAGCCCAAGACGAGAAGTAAATTACATTCGCTTCGGAGTCATGGAGAAACTAAAGGGATTGTTTACCAAGAACTTCCTATTATGGGTCAAAGGAATTCGAAACGCATGCGTTGGGGCTTCAATCCATTGTTCTGAAGCCTTACTGGAACATGAGAGAGCAACTGGATCAAAGAGGTTCGAATCTTTGACCCTGAGTTGAGAAGGTGAGAAGGATGCATTACACTGAAGATTATATCGACATTTATAGTATCCTGCCACAAAGGCTCAAGCAGACATGACAAGAGACGCTCTGAAAAAAAAAATATGAAAAAAGCAGCCCCAGAAAAAATAATCAAAAGACTAACACAAACTAGAATTCACAAACAAATTTCAAACAATAAACAACGCACAAACAACTTCAAACAGAGTAAACAACGCACAAACAAACTTCAAACAGAGTAAACAACGCACAAACAAACTTCAAACAGAATAAACAACGCACAAACAAGCTTCAAACAGAGTAAACAACGCACAAACAAACTTCAAACAGAGTAAACAACGCACAAACAAACTTCAAACAGAATAAACAACGCACAAACAAGCCCTGAAATGCAATATCGAGTAAACAAATTGACAGTGAAAAGAAATGAATGGAATATGTAAACTGATTCCCAAATAAAATTAATAAAACTGACACTGGAACATTATAGTTGACACAGGTATTATAGACACAAGCATTATAGACACAAGCATTATAGACACAAGCATTATAGACACAAGCATTATAGACACAAGCATTATAATTTACACAGACAAACCCTGAAATATGTTAGTCTAATAAAAAAACTAAAATATTATAGCTTATATAATCAGCCTTTAAATAATTATCAACATAAATCGACCTGAAAAATATCCAACAGAAACCGACCTGAAAAAAATTAGTAAAGTTGAAAACCCTGAAAAATTTATTCAACACAAACCGACCTTGGAATAGTTACTCCTCGCTAATAGACCTTAAAACATGCAACACAAACCATCCTTTAAACATGAAACACAAACAACCCTTAAAACATGAAACACAAACAAACCTTAAGACAAACAGAATACAAAAATAAAATCGAAACACTAAAATCGCACTTTACAATCCAACAGTACAATCTACAATCTAAAGTCTACAGATATATTCTACAGTTTACAGTGTATATTTTGCAGTAGTTTTCAATATTCTGTACTTTTACAACCTAAAGCGTGTAAGGTAAATAGTGCAGTTTATACAAGTATACCGTCAAAGATAAAATTTACAATCAAATACACAGTTTAAGTTACACAGTTTACAGTACAGGAAGAACAAGTGTGATCATCTACAACACAGGTTTGTATGAATGTGTATGTTTGTGTATGCTATGTGACTCTATGCATGTATGTAGATATATTTGCATGTAACTCTATATATGTGTATGTACTCATGTTTTTATTATCTTTAAATATTTATATATGTAAATGAATATGTAAATGAATATGTAAATGTATGTGTAAATGTACACACACACACACTTTAACATTGGTTCTTTGTTTACTTATGAACTGTGTATATGGGTAATTATTAATGCAGCGGATTTCCAATAACCTGTCAATACGTTCTCCACAACATGAGTGCACAGTTAGCCCACAATACCCAATTTGCAATTTATATTTAAATAAAATATCACTACACAACAATATATAACAATAGTATGAACAAAATACATAATACAGCTATACAATGACAACAGTATATACAGCGTTTAACTATAGTATGGTTCATCATGAGTATTGGTATTACTGTACACTGAGGGGGATGAATGAAACACTTCTTCTGAGTAAATTTCTTTCTTGTTGAAATTTAACTTGAAAATACAAATAAAGATACAACTAATAATTTTTTTCAGTGAAGTCAAATAACCTCATATATTACTTGTTAAAAAAAATACTAAAACTGGAGCCTAAATTACCCTAGACAATAATTCAAATCCTTCCTCCCCATCATCCACTATCCTGTTATAATATCCTATGGTCTTATTGCTGTACATGATATAACGTGTACCTGTCACTCTTTTCTGGCAGGTGGAAATTAATTTATATGAAAACTTTCTTCCATTAACCTAACCTAACCTAATCTAACCACAAAACCAACCCACATACTTGACCTTTCTGATGACCTAACAAACACTTTATATTTGTTCCTCGCTACACGTATGAAACTTGTACTATTATTGTATAAAATATAATATGTTCCTCTGATTATTGTTTTGTTTCTTTATATTTCGTTCTTTCCTCCCACGTAGCAGACAGCCACCATTGAACACTATTTAGGGAATACTTTCAGTGGGTTTCATTCTTTAGATCAACGGGAAATTCAACATATGTCAACTTCTGTTCATAACATTTCACAAACTATTTTCTTTAACAAACTTTCCCGCGAAATGTCAAGACAAACTTTCCCGCCAAATGTCAAATGGACGTAAACAAGTACAGTAGCTTATAGAGACAATGGAAGGGTCAGTGACCGCAAGAATCCTCGTATACAATATTAACAAAACAATTCTATCCTGGAATAAAAATAATCCCTTTCATTTTCAAGTTTTTTCCCCTAAAATTTTCATACAACAAACATCAAAGGTCAAGATAAACATTACAGTGTAGGATTTGTTGACTCTAAATTCAACCTTTACTCTTGGATAAAGTCTGTCTCTCTCTCTCTCTCTCTCTCTCTCTCTCAGTTCCTTCACCAGGTTGTCACCGTCACAAGCCACCAACTAGGTATTCATCCGTCTAGTGGTATCTGATCCACCCAAGACTTAAGGTATTCCGCTTCTCATCCTTAAAAGAAATGCTCACCCAAAGTAGTTCCCGTCTTCTGTGAGTTCTCTTAACCTTTCTTATGTCCCTTATTCTGTACTGCTCTCTCTCTCTCTCTCTCTCTCTCTCTGAATATAGACTCAGAACTCTTATCTCTGTTATCTCTAAAGTCATATATCTTAAGGAAACGACTTCTCGTATAACCGTCCACAATATCAACACCTCCGCTCTAACTCCTAGTCATGATGTCATTCAAGTGTAATCTTGTTCAGTTCCCTCGATCATAATCTGGACAGTTCTCTTGGTAATTATCATACGAGTTTATTTCAAGGAGTCTATTTCCATTTAGAGACTAATCCTTTATACCAGTCAACATTGTCATTAGCTTTGATCTTAATACAGCTAAGAAAAGCCTCTTGGAATTCTCACATCTCTAACATTGGAAAAAAAATGCAAGGTAAGAAACTAATTTTCCTGTTGGATCTCGTCATTGCTTCTCTTCTAAATAACTTCTTTATCCTCCCAGAGAACAATACTACCCAGATGTGTGTGGGTTGACGACACTTTACAGCACCGCTCATATAGGTTTAGCAGCTGCCAAATGGTCACAATTACACAAACAACTTAAATAAACTTCTTTTTTTTTTTACTCTTTTTACAAGTTAGTGTCTGCCATCACCATAACAGACAACAACGTAGTGAAACAAACCTCTTTTCCTGATTAAACTTTACCGGGTGTCATCATATCATCACCATAACACCAAACAACGTACTTAAACCTGTCCCCTCCTGCATAAGACGACTCTCCTGACAGATAATTGCCCTAACATAAAACAATAAGAATCTTAATACCTAAGTACGTGTTAGTAGGTGTCAAATGGTCGTCACAATACACCCAGCTCATTATCACCACCTGGCATAAACAGAACGGGTAACATGACTGTGAA